CCCCCCAACCCCCCCCCCCTTCCACCCCTGCCACAGCACGCCTCCGTCCCGCTGCTGAAGGAGATGCTGCTGGTCGTCGACCTCGCGCGCGTGGCGGGCACGCGCCATGATCGCCTCGTGGCCGATCGACTCCAGCGCAGGCTCCTGCACGACGACCAGAAGGACAGCGGGCTCCTGCCGGTGCGGTAAATGTGGGGGGCCAGTGCCTCAGCTCCCACTGTGCTGCCTGATGTCTCAGAGCAATCCAGGCTTGAGCCTTTGCATTGCGACCGCCATCTCTACGTTGAGAGGACCACTCAACCCATGGAACTCAGTCTCCAGGATGGCACTGAGCGCACAAATAATGCCCACTTCCACTTCTCCACGCTGGGTCGTGCAGGTTCTCTCCCGGCTCATCCGCGGCTACAACTACCGCTTCCAGCCCAGGAGCCATGCACTGGAGCTAGTGGAAAGCATGCACATCGTGCTCGGCATCGTGGACCGCCTGGTGGCAGCGGGTAGGGTCTGTGTCGTGAAGCGCGAGAGAGCGGGTGGATGACAGCAGAGCAGCTGCGCATCGGCCTTGATGCACCGCTGCAAATCGGCTGCTGATCTTAATGGCTCACATGAGCGTGTGCCTGGTGGGCGCATGCGACCATATTCTGGGACAGGCTGGAAGCCTGAAGCTCCTCGCATGGTGCCTGGCAAGCTTGAGGACAACCTTACAAAAGCTTTGATCCACTGACACCACGCAGAGTCGGGAGGCTTCCGGGTGTGCACCAAGAAAACCGTGGCGCTCCAGAGCGAGGGAGGAGAAGGCGCGAATATTGCAGCCCCAGAGGAGAAGGCGGCGCAGGACGCCACCGGAGAGGATACAGGTGGCCAGAGCCCACCGGCGTCTGCGACGTCGGATCCGAGTCCACCGATGGTAGAGGGCCAGGGGGACGCTGGCGAGGTGGAGAGCGCTGCTCCAGCGGAGCAGTCTCCGGATTGCGTATCCCGGCGAGCAGCCAGTGAGACAGGGTCCGGGGACAGAGGAAGCCGTGGCGGCGGGTCCCCTGCTCAGTTCCATGCCGCTGGCGGCACAGGGGTGGTGGGAAGGGACGCATCGCCCCAGGAGTCTCCCAAACCGGAAGCAAGGGGCCGGACGAGCGTGAGGAGGGAGGTCGCCTTTGATGCGGAGCGCCGCATCCGGCAGGAGTGCGCCCACCCCGGTGAGTCTGATGGGGGTCTGGGGGATGTGGGAGCCTTGAATGCCACTGCAGTGAAAATGGTACCCATGCAGATTCTTTCATTGTAGATTTGTTTGTGGCACCACACCTACCACTCTCTCCCCTCCACCTTCCCATGGCAGCGATGATCCACTTTGTGACCTGGCTCCTCAGCGGGTACAGGGAGAACAGCTCCTTTGCAAACCATGCGCTGGTGTCCTTTCTGGAGAGGGTTTCGTCCCCAAAGAGCATGAACTTGGAGCCTATGTTGTACCAGGTGACTTGGCAGTGGACGTTGTCTTGACTCAGTGGCAGGGGCATCAACACTGGATTGAGGGGACAGGCCAGTGCTCTGGCAGCAATGGTAGACAATGGATGCTTCGGGATGGGTCCTCTGCTGCTGCATCGCTTTGACATATATTGATGCACGGCACATGTGTGAACTCACGTGCAGCTGCTGTGCATGCTCTGGCTCCTGAATTCTGTAGTCTCAACTCACTGCTTCCCTGTGTTACCCCCAGATGAGCGTTCTCCGGCTGTTCCATGCCATCCTAGCGGACCCTGCAGCTCGTACCGTCCCCTCCCTCAAGCCGGCCTTGGCCCTGGCGACCAGGGTCACACGGAACCTCATGGCCAGGTGGGCTCGGCTTGCCGTGCGTGGGCGGGAATGGGGCCTCCACAGGGCAAGAGGAACATGGGTTGCATGAAGGCGGCCCCATCCAGAAAAATGCTTGGTCGTCATCCCCGGGCACGACTTCCACGGTATCATAGGCTGGCGCCCCCAGAGACGCCCGACGAGCTGGATTTGGACGCTGCAAGACCAGAGACAGACCCAGACAAGGCCGCAGCCGAGCAGCAGGTGCAGGCGGGCGGGGGGGGGGTGGAGGGAGAAATTGCGGGGACCTCCCATCTACATGGCAGGTTCTTGCACACAGACACTGCAATTGTTGAGCAGGGTGGCGCCAGGTCTTGCCACACCAGAGTCCTTGCCGCCGCTCCCTGCTTTCCAGATCAAGGCTTCCTGTACCAGCATGCTCTTCGTGGAGCTACTCTTCTGGAAGTCCGCTACAGTGGCCGAGGACGTACGGGAGCAGTACAACTGGAGGGTGAGACTTGGGAGACGCAACACCTGGCATCCAGCTCGTGGCTGGAGTGCTCGACTGCCGGGGAAGATACGGGCTCTGCATGTGCTGTCAGGGTGTGCACGTCGATTGAAGTGAAACCTCAAGGGACCACCCCCTTTCTCACCCCTCAACCATGCAGAAGCTGCTGAATCCAGCGCCAGCCCATGCTGTGGCCAGGAGACGGCACAAGTGCGGGGCTGACAGCGAGAGCGAGGTGGAGGGGCCTGGGACCGAGCCAGGCTTGGCAGGCCTCCCACGGAGATCCAGAGCCGGCACCTTCACCGAGGTGCAGGTGTGCGGCCTCCCCTTGCTGCGATGCCCCAGGGAGTTTGCGGACTTGACTCTTCCCTGCCAGGGTGCGGGCGAGGCTACAGCCCCGGCCCCCCTCTGTTTCTGAACCAACTTCAATGCCACCCCTCCCCCGCCCCGGGGTGCTCTCAGGCCAAGGAGCTGCGCAGGGCGTTCGAAGCCTGCAACGGCGCCAAGGACTGCCTGTCACGTGTGGTCCAGGCCCTGGGAGGCCGCTTCAAGAAGGTCCACGTCAGCCGCCAGCTGGCTGCCATGGGCCTGGCCAAGGGGAAGTTCACGCCCGACCAGGTGTGTGGGGGGGGGGTTGGCAAAAGGTTGTTCTGGCCTCTTGACCTCCAGAACATAATGACACCAGAACCCACACCCTTTGACCCTGGCGCTGAAGCTTGCTGCCCCTCAAGTGACCGCAGGACACACTCCTGGCCGCGTACTGCGAGGAGTACGGCGGCAGCACGCCCGACGGCCGGGCGCTCATCGCAGAGCGCCTGAACGCCGGTTTCTCGGCCACCCAGGTGAAGCGGCGCTTGCAGGCCCTGGGGCTCGTCGCGGGCCCACCCACTGCCGCCGGCAAGCAGGCTCGCGATTGGCAGGCCCTGCTGGGATCCTCCAGTGACGAGGATGGCAGCGAAGGCGAGGCGGGGCCTGGCGACCGCGGCAGCTCACCTGTCGGGGACCCAGCGGTGGAGGTCCGGCCTCCTGGCAGCGTTGCCTCTGCTCTGGACGCTGAGGAGAGCGGGATCGAGGGAGAGGGCGGGGCCGAGAGCGGCAGTCAGGCGAGCGCCCCGCTTGGACACCTGAGCGCGGCTGAGCCCCCTGAGGCCGCCGCGGCCTCGCCCGAGTCCAAACGTGCACGCCTGGAAGGTGGGGAGGACGTCGAGCAAGCGGCGGCTCGGCGCAAGGCCGCCCTGCAAGCCCTGCGCCAGTGCCGGCTGCAGCAGCAGGTGGCGGCAGGGGAGCCAGAGTCCCGTGCATCGGACCCTGAGCCGCTACTCTCAGCCAGGGAGGCGATCCAGGCTCCGGACAAGTCGAGCGGCCGTCGTCGCCTGAAGAAGGCGGGAGCCGCCCCCGCCTCGCTGCTGCTGGACGCCAGCCTCATGGATGAGGATGCGTAGAAAGCGATTGCATGCGTGCGCTCTTGCCCCAATGGCGTACTCCCATCGCAACAAGCCCTCGCATCATCTGCATGCACCTGCACTCGCTGCATCAAGTAGGCACCAGTCGATCAGCATGCCGTCAATGTTACAGGGGCCGATCGGGCCACGAGCGGGTCGGGATCAGAGTCAAGAACTTCTCACAAGCTCAATCCAGGGGCCGGTCCAGGCTGGCGGCCAGGGCGCGGCGCAGGTCCGCCCCCTCCCCCGCCTCCTCATCGGAGCCGGGGGGGCTGGAGGGGGCCACGCCGTCGGATCCCGGGCCGGGCGTCCTCCCGGCCAACACCTTCTCGACTGTGCCAGGCGCCACCTCCCGCGCCCGGGCTTCCTCTGCCTGCATGGCGGTGGCGATGCGCGACATGCGCGAAATGCTCTCCTCCAGGCGTGCGCGCAGGGAGGGGATCTGGGCCGCCGCGGCCTCCAGCTGGTCCTGCAGCGCCTGGAGGCCAGGCTCTAGGGCCGGGAAAACAGGCTCGCGCGACGCCGAGCCCGCGTCAGCGTCCGCCTCCGCGGGGCTTGCCTCAGACGAAGGACGGGTGGAGGCCAGGCGCAGCGCCAGCTCCTCCTGCAGCGCAGTCTGCATCGAGGTGCGCAGGGTCGCCACCTGCTGTGCAGCGACCGTCACCTCTGCCTCCAGGGCGCGGACCTCCTCATCCACCGGAGGTGGGGGGATGAGTGGGAGTGCCGGGGAGCCAAGGCCCCTCGCAGGGACCAGAGCTCCCAGCTGGCCCCTGGATTGGGTGCAGGTGGGGACTTGTTTTGGAGCTTGTGTACATCTACTGCATCAGGGCAGGAAGGACAGCATGGCGATGCTTGACTCTTGGTTATGCAATCTCTGGCCAACCTGATGGGAATCCAGGCGTCCAGGAGGGTGGCTACTTGATCCTGATCGGGGCCATGGGAAGGAAGAGACAAAGGACCTTGGTTGGGAACATGCCTGTGGCTATCCCACTCCAGGCACACATCAGGAGTAGATGCTGCATGAGTTCAGGCACCTACCACTTTGTTGTACAGCTCAGCTTCAACATCCGTCCCACTCGTCTCGGGGGAGGCCTGGAAGGGTGAGACGAGCATGGCGAAGGTGACAATATCGCACATCGGTACATTTACAAATACTCATACAGCGGCATCGCCACACTTACCTGCAAATGATCCACAAGACTCTGTTGCAGCAGGTCGTGCAGGGTCTGCCGATCCCCTGGTCCCTGCAATTGCACGAGTGTCGCCATGTTCTCGTCGACAGAATCGGCGAAGTACAGAATCAAGTCCTTGGTGTAGATCAATCTGTAGCGTGCCTTCGGAACCAGGTCTCCGGCCACACGCTGCGCGCAGATCTCTCGGGAGCTTGTGGAGGACAGGTGGCAGTTCAAATGACATGGCAGCATGCCCAGCACCCTTGCCCCTCCGCCTCTCCTTGATGGTTGGGCAGCATGCTCCTGACCCCATGGCTTGCTACTGGTCCTTCAGAAAGAAATTCATGAAATTACAGGAGGCTGGTTGAGGTGCATGGTGGGCTTCGAGGAGCTCTGCTGCTCCCTGTGATGCAGGAGACGAGCGGGAGTGGGGGCCTCCCAGCCCAGACTGGCAGCACCCACAAGCATGGCTCGCTGGGCTCCTACCTGGCCTGCCTGCGGGACAACCCCTCCTTCACATGGCTTTGGATAGCAGAGGCAGTCAACACCATGGGGAGCTGGTTCAAGTGAGATGTGGGCGCGTCGAAGGTGCCCGGTCGAGGCCCTGGTCCGGATGCTAGCGTATGGCAGCCCCCCGGACCCCAGGGGGCACACCCGACCCTTCTTCAGCCCCCGCCCCGGCCCCTTCCTGCAGCTATGTGGCCGTCTTGATCCTCGTCAATTCCTACTCTCAAGGCTCGGGCCTCGCACTCGCTGGCGTGGTGCTGCTGCACTTCCTTCCGTCCCTGGTCCTGGCACCCATCGCGGGCATGGTGGCCGACAGGCGAGTGGGTGCCTCCGCAGGCACGAGCCTGCCGGGGGATGAGCTCCACCCTGTCTGCCTGACCACTTGTCCCCGGCCGAGCCCCCCTCGACCAACCTCCCCACCCACCCTCCACAGGTTCAACCGGGTGGGCATCTTGATCGCCACCTCCCTGCTCTCCTGCGCCGTGGTCTCTGCCCTGGTGACCGTCACCTCGCGGGAGCACACGCCGCGCCTCTACGCCCTGCTCTCCCTCCAGTTCACGTGCGTGGCCTTCTACACCCCGGCCCGCACTGCGCTGATGCCCGTGCTGGTGGCGCCCCGGGACCTGCCTGCCGCCAGCACCATGGACACCTTTGCCTGGTCGCTGACGGGGGCGGTGGCCTCCAGCCTGGGCGGCGTGGTCACCTCCAAGCTTGGCGTCCGCGCCGCTTTCCTCCTGGTACGATGCGCGCGGCCTGCACATGGCGATCCGGGGCATGCAGCGCTGGGCGGTCGGTGCCGTCGGAGTCGGCTGGCAGGAGCGCCGGGGTGCAGGTGCACGGCTACCCCCACTCGCTCCCCAGAGCACCACAGGGCACCTCGACCATCCACCCTCCGTCTTCTCCTTCCCGAAACGCACAGGATGCAGTCACGTACCTCGTCAGCGCGGTCTGCGCCGCGCAGGTCCCCCGAGCGCTGGGCGTGCCGGGGGCGCCCGCCGCCAGCACCAGGGCCCGGGAGGGCGAGGCACAGCCCCTCAGCCTGGAGCTGGCGGCGATGGAGGCGGTGGGCTGCGACAGGGGCGCCCGCACCGCGTGCGGCGAGGGCTCGGCCTCGGACTCCGAGCCGGAGCCCTTGGCCAGCGCCGGACGCAGCAGGGCGCTGCCTGGTATGGCCAGCGTCGGACGCAGCGGGATCTTGAGCAGCACCGGCAGCATCAAGCAGGGCGGGATGCTGCACAGCGCGGACAGCGCAGTGCTCCGGTATGACTTTGGGTCGCAGCTGGCCGCTGGCTGGCGCACAGTGACGGAGGGGTGCAGGTACCTGGCAGCCCCCGAGAACCGCGACGTCGCGGCCATGGTCACGCTCAAAGGCGCAGGCTCCCTATCCTGGGGCTGCATGGACATCATGAATGTGAGGCAGCGTCAGCCAGGGGGTGGATGTTGAATGAGGTAGAGGGGTGGAGGAATATACCTCCAGGCAGGCCGCATCGTGTGATGGGTGGCAGGGATGCGCAGGGTGCTTGGCGCCGATCGCACGCCCGCAGGTGCAGGATCCATGGCACATGTTCCCCTGTGAACCTCGCTGCCTTTTTATTTGTCGAGCGCTGGAGTGCCTCTTCTCTCGTGTTCCTGCAGGCACCCTGCCTGCCCGCCGCTGCTATTCCACCAGACCAGTTCCCTTGCCCACCCACTCCTTCCTGTTCACCCTTTCTTTCTCCATCCTCCTGTCTTCCCCCAGCTGTCTATGACTCCGCACACACACTCCCTACCCCAATCCCTTCCAGGCCCGGCTCAGCGACCTACCCGAGATGCAGCACCTGGGTGACGCGCCGCAGACAATGGGCTACATCTTTGCCATGGTGGGCGTGGGCTGCCTGGTGGGCCCCCTCGTCCTCAACCCCTGGGTCCCGCCGCGTGTGCCCCTGCTCCTGGCCGCCTGCGCCGGGTCCCTCACGCTGCTCAGCATCAGCTACGCCGTCATGCTGGCGGCCCCCGGGATCGGGCTGGTCCTCCTCTCCACCTTCATCCGCGCCCTGGGTGAGGGTGTTTATGTATCGGAGGGGGGTGTCCCTGGAGGCATTCTGTTGCGAGGGTTCTGTTGCGAGGGTACCGCGACGCCCATCAAACACTGGGCCCGGTTGGCGCAGGCAGGGCCCTGCAGCTCGGCCTGACCGCCGCCGCCCTCACCGGAACCGATCCGCCCAGGTCGGATATCGACTCGCACCCACCCACCCGTCCTGCACGCTGCCCCTCGTACATGCCGCAGGCTCCGCGACCGTGTGGATCTTCAGTAGCCTGGCCCTGCAGCTGCGCGTTCCCGGCGCCCTCATGGGCCGAGTGTCCGCCTGGGAGATGGCACTCTACACCCTGGCCGAGTCCTCCAGTGGCCTGGCCACAGGCCTGGCCCTGGATCTGGGCCACGCCTCCCTCCGCGCCGTGCTCTGTGGCACCCTGCTCCTGTCCGCCATCCCCACGCTGCCCTGGCTGGCCTGGGCCGCTCGCCTCTGGCGCCGGCGGCGGCGCGGCGACGGCGCCGGCACGGAGGGCGGTGCCGCCGCAAGCCGGAGCGGAGGGAGCACCACGCACGAGGAGCGCGGCGTGTATGCGCCGGTCGGTGTGGAGGGCGATGCTTTGCCTCTGGGCACCAACAAGTCCCTGGATCTGGGGATGAGGCCCCGATACCATGTCGAGGTCCAGGCCGGGATGGCGGGGGAGGTGGCGTAGCCATGGTGGCCCGAGCCACTCGACCTACGTGAAACCGCCGGCGGCAAGGACCACGCCCAGGGGGCTGCGTCTGGCCGCCGCTCCCCGCTGCCGCGCACACCCGGCCCGCGGATTGGGCAGCTGCTTTGCCGACCGCGGATTGGGCAGCTGCTTTGCGGACCGCGGATTGGGCAGCTGCTTTGCCGACCGCGGATTGGGCAGCTGCTTTGCCGACCCCGGATTTTGCTTCGCCGGGGCCGGTTTTGGCGATGCGTGACTGGCGAGCCTGCACGCCGGGCGGACTGTGCCCCACCCGGTGCCCTCCTCGTGACTCTCCCGTGACCGACTGAGGTTGTATACACAAGCATGCCCGCGCCGCCCCGGGGGGCGGGCAGGGTCTCAACGAGGGGCAGAAAGGGGGACATGGGTGGGGCTGCGTCGCGCTCTGGGCATTCCATGCCACGACGCTCCGGCGTGAATCAGAACGGCAAGGGATGGTGTCCAAGGGGGGGGCATGCAGCTCAGAGCGACAGTGCTGAAGGGTACTACCGATGAACGGTGTGTGTGAGGAATGGGGCAAAAAGGAGCAGGGACCATGGGTGGGCGGAGTGTGGGGGGGGTGTTCTTTACGCAGTGTTGGAGAGAAGTGGTAAAATGCAGCAAGGTGACGTGCCGACGCCGTCCCCCCCCCCGGGGTGGGGGGGGGGGGGCGGCGCGGCGCGGTGCCGGCGGCAGCGAAATGGCAGGGGGGGAGGAGCAGACTGGGGCCACTCCCATACTTTTTTTTTCATGCACCCAAAAATCTCGCAGACATGGGAAGTGGAAGAAAATCGGGTATCGTTTCGTCACATGCACGGGGGCGGGGACCAAGAGGGCCGCGGCAGGGGAGCTAGGGGCCCCCGCGACGGGACCGGAGAGGAAAACGAGCTAAAAGTATGGGCGAGATGAGGGGTGCAGGGGCGTGAGGTGGGGTGTGGAGTGGGCGGTGTGCGGGACGGGGGTTGTGGGGGGGGGGCAGGGATGGGTGGGGGGGGCCAGGGATGGTGGGGGGGGCGGCGGCAGGGTGCGAGCCAGGCCGAGGTGTGTGAAGGGCGAGGGCAGGGATCTGGCAGGCCGAGGGGGGCCGCGGCCGTGCCTCCGGCCCAGCGCCACCCATGTGCCCGACGCGCCTGATCCCCCACCGCACCGAGCCCACACCCCCCACCCGCCCGCTCCTTGGAGAAAAGGCAGACCAGGTTTGCTTGGCCCTGGCAGCAGGGGATTCCCATCCCCTCCAGCAGTATCCATGGGGCGATGGGGTGGGGTGGGGTGGTGGTGTACGACACACTCCCTCTCGCCTGGCAGCGGCTCGGGATGGCGCCGGGGGGGGTGCGGCTCACAGGAAGCCCGTGCCCCAGTTCAGGCTCAACCCGCCGAGCCCAGCCTGCGGCTGCGGAACACGGAAATGGAGGGGGGTCGCAGGTGAGTGCCGTGTGGGGCGACCAGGGGCCGCCCAGCTGGGGGGGCCACCCACGACGCCGCACCCAGCCTCACCGTTCTGCGGGAGTCGCGGTCACGCCAGCACGGCCCCTCGGCCCACCCACTCCCGACCCACTCCCGCCCTCCACCGCCTCCCCCACCTGCTGCTGGCCGTTGCCGGCGGCGGGCTGCGCCCAGAGGCCGTAGCGGTACGCGGCCTCGGCGCTGCCCTGGTCGCCGGTGCCCTGGGCCCCCGCTGGCCACCGACCCCGGGCGCCAGACGCCGGCATCGCGACCCACTCCCGCCCTCCACCGCCTCCCCCACCTGCTGCTGGCCGTTGCCGGCGGCGGGCTGCGCCCAGAGGCCGTAGCGGTACGCGGCCTCGGCGCTGCCCTGGTCGCCGGTGCCCTGGGCCCCCGCTGGCACCGACCCCGGGCGCCAGACGCCGGCATCGG